CTTACTGAGGGAGCACTCAATCCCCTCATCCAGATCATTACAAAAATGTTAAACAAGACCGGACCCAAAACTGAGCCCTGGGGAACACCACTCGTGACTCTCCAGACCCCTCACCAGCCCTGTTGCTCTTCATGGAGCATCTGCGTCCCCCGGGGGCTGTCACAGCCCCCCAAGGCTGAGAGAACCTCATCTCTGCTGAATCCAGGGTGGGCAGGACACCAGCGTTCATCACTGCTTTTTGCATCCCATACTTTGGGAATGCTGCGAGTGCCCTCGAACCGCGTTAAAGCCCCTGAGGTCTCCAGACCCCTCACCAGCCCTGTTGCTCTTCATGGAGCATCTGCGTCCCCCGGGGGCTGTCACAGCCCCCCAAGGCTGAGAGAACCTCATCTCTGCTGAATCCAGGGTGGGCAGGACACCAGCGTTCATCACTGCTTTTTGCATCCCATACTTTGGGAATGCTGCGAGTGCCCTCGAACCGCGTTAAAGCCCCTGAGGTCATGGTGGCTGGCCAGCCCCCCGGGGCCCAGCACGGCTCAGTGGCCCAAGCCGTGCAGCTGCTGGCCCAGCTGCTCCTCCTGGAAGCCCCTTCCAGGCCAGCGTGAGGACAGGGAAGCCACCTCCTCTGCATGCTCTGGGGAAGGCCTGCCCTGCTCTTGGCCGCTGCATTTATCCCTGATATTGCTCCTGAGCCAAGGAGCAGCAGCGGGGCTGTTCTTACAGTATCACCCATCCCCTCTTTTACAGCATTTGTAAAATAAATATCAACTGTATCTGACAGCTTAACTAGAAAGACCCGGAGAAAGATGTGTACTGCAGAAGACAGATACTGCTTTTAATTTAAGATGCTTTCACCACGCAGCGTGCAGTGAGGATTGTCAGGCTGGAGTGGGATCATTTCTCACATTCATATTTCATCCCGAGGACGTGCGTTGCGGCTTTGCACGGAGATAAGACTACCTGCGAACACGCGCCATCGTTAAAAATACAGGCAGCTCTCTCTGATGGTCTCCGGAGGTGACACTGGGCACAGTTTCAATGGAAATCGCGACGTGGTGACAGCGTGAAGAGCGCAGGGAGCTCCGTCCCCGCCAGCGCGCAGCTGGGAGAAATGCTCCTTGGCACGTGTGAGGCAGCATCGCCTCCGCGCTCTGCACAGCCGCCCAAAAAGCGAGGCACAGGCGTCACACAGGCTGGGAAACGGAAAGGTTTTGTGCACCGGGGTTGCCCTGATCAGCTGGCATGAGTTCAGGCTTTTTTCCGCGACCACGCGAAGGTAATGAGCTGCCGAGAGCAAGTGGAGGAAACTGTGAGTGATCACCCGATTCCAGGAGCTGGAGCGTTAAAGGAAAAAAACAGCCAGAAACAGAAGAACAGGGTTGTATCTGTGAGCGGTGTCACCAGCAGATCCGGCACCGCTCTCATCTCTTCTGCCTGAATTGCCCCAGCAAAAGCTGCCTTAAACACTGCCACGAAGGATAGTCCCAAGGCAAGCACAAGCCCCAAGAGTCAGTGGCCGGTCTGTGCTCAGTAGGTTTGCGGGTTTGGAATTCACCTTCGGGCTGCGAGCTCACACTCAGGTCCAGGAGTGCTGGCTGTAGCGCAGGAGATGCTGGCCCAGCCCTTGGCTGTACGGCCAGGCAGCACTCCATGGGGAACTCCCTCTCTCCCCTCCATCATTTTGGACACTCTCCTCTCTCCTCCTTCGTCCCCGCTGCTGAAGACAGCTTTGATTCTTAAGTCAAGGCTTCCTTTTCTAAACAGGCCACCGAAATTTCTTTCCCCCCCAACAGCCAAAGTCCGAGGGAGAGACTCCCTGCCTCTGCACCCCTCCTTTTTTCACCCCAGCGTCGATTGTGAGTTATAAATAAAGGCGAGATTAGATAGACAGGCTGATCAAACCTGGAGGATGTTCTAAAAAACGGCCTTATATCAGATCATCCCAAGGGGACAGAGATAAACAGGAGCATTGCAGTGGTGAATTATGCGGCAGCTAATGCCAGCTATCCATAAATAAGCTGTTAAGACCTCCGCTGAATATTAAGCGCAGAAATAACAGTGTTAATCACAGCTGATAGGAGTCTGCTGAGTCTATTCAGTGGCAAATTTAGGGAGAGGAAACCCATCTTTTCCATGAATCTCCCCTCCCCTTCTTCCCCCCACCCCTCTTTTCCATCACATCAAGGTTAAGCAGCCAAGGTTAAAGCCAGCATTAGCATCTAAATTTGTGTCTCCCCAGCTCATCTTGCGCTTCAAAGTCTCTTTCTTAATTTTTGGGGGGTGAAACACAAAGGGCCAGAGCCCGCACACATCCACCAGCGCCGTGCCCAGAGACAACGGAGGGATGCTTCCCGAGCATCCACAGCCCACTCACGGATTATCTGTAATAGTGACTTTTAATCTGCATCCAATTAGCCCTTTATCACCCAGGCAAAGCGAAACCTTGGAGCAGCAGCTTTTGCCAGCAGTTTCTGGCAAAGCCGGTGACTTGGGGGGGGTGAGGGAAAGTGGTTTGCAGAGAGCATCCCAACTCCTGGGGCGTGCAGGATCCTCTCTCCCTCCCCTGCCCCTTCCTTCTGAATAGCATCACTCGTCTTGGCCTGCTCCCTTTTGTTTCTGTGTTAAAAGCAGAAACACCATCCCAAACAAAGTCAACAGGTGGGAGCTGTAATTAGGGTGGCCCCAGTTCTTGGGGATCCCTGAGGCTAATTAATAGCACCCTCGTGACTAATGCCTGGGCTGCGGGAATGGCACGAAGGCTGCGCTGAGAGCCAGGACTGCGGCAGCCCCCTCTCCAATAGCTGAAGGGTGGAAAAGGCACGG